AGGCGCGTGGAGCTCGCCGCACACGCCAGATTCCAGTCCGGGGCCCCCAAACCACTCTCACAACACAAGTCCAATTATCCAGGGAAAGGCAGTCACGGGAGGCCGCATCCAGACACGGGACGTAAACGGTACCCGTGTCCCCATGAACATTTGCTTTAAAAATCAGAGACCAAGGTGACTGCAGCGCAGACGATCCCAGGCCCAGGCCTCCCGGGGGGTCTGGCCGAGGACAGGGACGCGGGCGGGGCTGGCGGACACTCACCTGGACGGTCGGTGGCAGCGGGGAGAAGCGGACAGCGAGGCGGGCCCCGGAGCCTGTGGAGGAGAGAGCACGGTCACCCCAGGCCTCCAGGCCTGCGTCCACGTTGCACACCCCAAGGAGGGCGCTGGCGGCTACGCCTCGGTTTATCAGGAACGGACGGTCACGCCGGGAGCTGCTGGCTCAGCTCCTCTCCCGGGAGGATGTCCGGCCTATCAGCCATCTGGGCCCCAGGACAAGTGTCACAACTCCATGAGCCACAGCGGGCGGCTCCACACAGGGACAGCGAGAGGCCCCGCGGCAGGGCAGGGCCCCGCATGTGTGACAGCTCGTCTCCGCAGACAGGAGGCGCCCTCGGCACAGCGGTGACCACCATTCTGTCAGCGAGCGCTGGGAAGCCCTTGGAGAGAACCTGCACCTGCTTCTCTTTTAGAGCCTGTCCGACGGGAAGGAAGGCTTCGGGATTGCGACTGCCCCCGTGCCCGTGTGCGTGCGTGCACGCGTGTGTCATGCACCAAGGACGGCAGAGACGGGAGATGCCCCCCCAGTCCTCCCCAAAGCCCTTCTCGGCCTGGGCCCCTTTCTCTCCTGCCTCCGGGGGAGCCCGCACCCTCGGCTCCGCACCCCCGGGACCCTGCTCTGTGGACCAGCCCAGCGGGCGCACAGCTACTGGGTGACGTGGGTCCTGCGAGCAGGGCGCCCAGAGCCCGCCTCCGTGGACGGAGCCCCCTCAGACAGGCCGACACCCTCTCCCCTGAGGTCCCCTTGGGCACCTGCTCACTTGGCTCCCACAGGAGGGACAGGGGATGAACCCGGGGCTATTTCAGGGTCCACCAGACACACACTTTTCTGAAATCTCGACAAGGCAACTCCTAAGCCAGCGCCAACCACAGAGGCGTGATTCTGGCCCCCGAACGGAGGCAGGACTGGACGGCGCCCTCCCCCCACCGGCCCCCAAACCCCGCTCGTCCACACGGGC